TAAATCTTTAGAAGAAAATCTTTTCCGAAAAATAAGATAGAAATATTGGGTTAAAAAGCATAATATCTTTTTAACAAACTGATTTTAAGAAATAAACATTTAAATAAAATCTTTTTCGAATTCTATCTTTTATCTTTTCCGATTTTTATTTATTTGCCAAGCTAACTTGTAATGCTTCTAATACACTTCATGCATATCCTACTTAACATATTTAACAATGAATATAGAAGATAACATCTTTAACTAAATCATTGCTGCGCCGCACTCCTATACTGGTAGGTTTACTTGGGCTCCACGCTTAATAAGTTCCTCCAAAGATCTTAGCCAGCCATCTTCAAGTTCCTGTTAGGGAACTTAGTTCCCGTGAGGGATCACTTCTTCTGTTTCGAATAACCTTCTTGAATAAAGAACTTCTTCAAGTCTTCTTAGTTTCAGTTACTTCTTTCATCTCCAAGATTAATTTCACCTAAACAAAACAAACACTTGAAAAACCTTTATTAAATGAGTTTGCAGTAGTTTAAGTTCCTCATCATCAAAACCTTTAAACATCAATAATTTCCCCCTTTTTGATAATGACAAACTTAAGGAAACTCTAGAGAAAGTTAAAACAAAATAGAAGGACATATTTTTGTATTTTTGATTTATAAACAAAAAGTAAACACACAACTGAATTAAAAACAGAAAACAAAAATAACTAAAACAGAAAGTAAACTAATACTCTATCAGCATCATATCACAAGAAAGTTCTGATACTTTATAAACTAGAACCCAGAACAACTTCAGCCTCCATGTTTGCTTCTTCTTTTCCCCCTTTTGGCATTATAATAAAGTCCTGCTTTTTCAAGTGTATTAAGCATCTACCCACAGCCCCACAAGCAATTCATCGAGTGTGGGAACTAAAGGCAGCGCTGCTAAACAACCTCAAGTAATTCTACCCTTCAGCATAAGTTTTCAAAATACATATAAACACACAAGTATAAGCAGAGTTCCAACATTTCAATAAAGACCAAAAAGATTTTTCATCCAGTTGATAAATTTAGAGAATTTACAAACAAAATTAATTGTTCAAATACTAAAAACAGAAATTTATATTGTTCATGACTAAAACAGAGAAAATAGGCTAGGCTGAATATGAAATAGGGCAGGCTAGGTTTCAAGGAACTCCAGAATTTTCTTGAATTCCTCCTTTGTCTGTTGTGCAGAGGTCTCCAAATTTTCTTCAACGCACTTGAGTTTCACCAGGAACTCCTCCTTCTGTTCCTGTAGAGCCTTGATCAGTTCTTGCTCTTGAAACTCCTTTTGCTCTTGAAGTTCCTTGTTTTGTTTTAGCACCATCATCCTGAGTTCCTTTAACTCCTTCCCCTGCTCCTGTACCAACTTTTCCAAGGTCAGCACCTGAAGCTTTCTAGCAGAATCCTTCATTTGACTTTCAACCCGTTCCATTCAATCCACTAACTCAGCAACTTGCCCATTGAGGATATCTTCCTCAACATCCAACTCCAGTGGCTGTTCCATACTGGTTTAAGGAACAACACTGGCAGAAATCCTCCTGCTCTTTCTCACAGGCTGCTCAGATACAACCTTTTCTTTCCTCTTCCCTGTCACTTTCTCTCTCTATTTCTCTCCCTTCTCTAATTTCTGAATTTTCTTTACACCACTTCCAAACTTAACCCAGCCAGGGTTTCCTCATTAATCACATTTTCTGGCTTTTCATCCAAAGCCCCATATTTACCCTTCAAAACTACTCCAGCATTCTCAAATACAGTGGACAAAATGGCTCCATACCCCACTTTTGTCCTACTGGGAACACCGTGCTAAGTGCTGATACATTAAAGAAGGAAAATTGACCTTAATCTTCTTTGAAATACAGAAAATTACTGCCATATCCATCAAGCATGCTTCCCCCTTTTTAGCAGTCCTAAGCAAAATAGTCTTCTTTACCAAATTAAACAATAGCTTGTTTAAGGGACTAGGATCATTTTGACTCATGACCTTCTTCCCTCTCTGACCACCTAAGGCCTCAACAATATCACCAGTCAAATAGCTACCTACATTTACACTTCTCTTTCCCTTAATATAAGTGTCATACCCCTCAGTAGGAGTTTTCAGAATTTTACCAAGGGTTTCAATGTTCAATTCGATTTTTACCCCATTAACTACACTTGAAATTATCCCTAATTTTGCTTAAAAATTTTGGCAAAATTCAGTCATAGCTACAAGGTACATATAGTTTGATGAAACTCTTGACAACAGAAATTCCCAACCTAGAAACTTAATTAAATCAAGAAATTCTAGAAATCTTGCTTTTCTACACCAAACAACATCAATGGGATGACCAACTACATACCTTCCAGCCTGTGAATCAAGTTCCGCTTGATCAGTCACTTCCTCTTCTTCATCTTCCTTTTCAGATTCTTCCTTTTCAGAAGTGTTCTCCTCCTCTTTCTCTTCTTCTTCTCTCTCACTCATCTCTTCTTCTACTTTGTTCTCCTCTGTTGTCTCGTCTGAGTTTTTCCCTTGAGAAAACTTGTCAACTTCCTCAATTTGCTCTTCAAGAGACTTTTCACTTTGTTTCTTTTCTTTCCACTCTTTTAGTCGTTGAAGAATGCTTGAAATAGAGGAATCCCCTTTATCGCTTTTACTTTCAACTTCTTTTGGTTTCGGAGGAGATTTCCTAGGGTTTTAGGGAGTTTTGTTTGAGATAGAAGATAATTTGTAGTTTACCATGGTTAAGGGAGAAGTTTCTTCTTGAATTGTGTTTTCAGAGTGTTGGGATTCTTCTGAGGAAACAAATTCAGCAATGATCACCATTGATGCTTTAGGAAAGGTTTTTTTAAAAGGTTGAAAGAGTTTTTACTGGGAAGGGTTTAATTTGATTTAACAGTGAGGTGAAAGAAGTGGGTGAAATCAACTTTTATAATAAATGAAGCGGTGTGAGGGAATTTAGGAAGTTTCACTGTTCTGTCATTAATTGAACAAATTCAATTAATTTTTCAAATTTCAAATTACTGGATGATTCTTTCAAAAACTTAACTTTCCAAATTCAATTAATTTTAAACAAAGTTTCTACAAAACACAATTGGAACACGCTTTTTACATATGTGCAATGTACAAATTTAATAACTTATATCGTTGAGCAATTTAATGAACTTACCTTTGGTAGTTAACAACGGTGACACTTTAGCTATGTTTATCACACCAAGGTTGTGGTAGAAGCTCTTTTTGCTTTATTTACATTAATTTTAACTTTGCCATTTCTTGGAACTTCAGAGGCTAGTACTTGATCATCCCAAGTTCAAGTCTCAATTTCTCAAATCTTTCTCTATTCAAGGGCTTGGTTAGAATATCTGCAATTTGATTTTCAGTTTCACAAAATTCTAACTTTATATTCCCTTGCTCCACATTATCCTTTAGAAAGTGATGCCTAATGTGGATATGTTTTACCTTTGAGTGTTGAACTGGATCCTTAGAAATACATATAGCACTAGTATTATCACAGTAAATAGGTACACATTCAAAAATAATACCAAAATCTCTGACCTGTTGTTTTATCCATAGAACTTGTGAGCAACATGCTGCCGCTGCCACATATTCAGCTTCTGCAGTAGATAAAGCAACTGTGTTTTTCTTCTTGGAACCCCAAGAAACTAAACAGGGACCTAAAAATTGTACCATACTTGAAGTGCTTTTTCTATTAATCAAATCACCTGCATAATCAGCATCAATAAAACTATTGAAATCAAAAGAATCACTTCTGGGATAAAAGAGACTCAAATCATCAGTTCCTTTCAAGTATCTTAGAATTCTTTTTACTGCTGTCAGGTGAGACTCCTTTGGATTTGCTTGGAACCTAGCACACAGACCCACACTAAAAGATATGTCAGGTCTGCTAGCTGTTAAGTAGAGTAGTGAGCCTATCATACCTCGATACATAGATTGATCAATGTAAGATCCAGATTGATCTTCATCTAATCTAGTGGCAATTCCCATAGGAGTATTATTGGTTTTGGCATTTTCCAACTTGTATTTCTTAATCAGTTCCTTAATATATTTTTGCTGATGAATCATGATTCCCTCTTCAGTTTGCTTGATTTGCAAGCCAAGGAAGAAATTTAATTCTCCAGTCATGCTCATTTCAAATTCTCCACTCATAAGGTCAGCAAAATACTTGCATAGAGATTCGTTAGTTGCACCAAATAAAATATCATCAACATAAATTTGTACAACTAAGATATCAGTTCCATTTGACTTTAAAAATAAAGTTTTATCAATTTTACCACGTTTAAAACCATTAACCAAAAGGAACTTAGATAATCTTTCATACCATGCTCTAGGAGCTTGTTTTAACCCATAAAGAGCTTTGTCAAGCTTATAGACATGGTTTGGGAACTCTGGATTTTCAAACCCAGGAGGCTGTTCCACATAGACTTCCTCATTTAAATATCCATTTAAGAAAGCACATTTAACATCCATCTGGTACAGCCTAAATCCCATATAAGCAGCAAAGGCAATAACTAAACGAATAGCCTCTAACCTTGATACTGGAGCAAATGTCTCTTCATAGTCTATTCCTTCCTGCTCGTTGAAACCTCGTACAACTAGTCTTTCTTTGTTCCTGACAATAATACCATGTTCATCTAGTTTTTTTTTCTAAATACCCATTTTAGTCCAATGGACTTCTTATTTTTTGGTCTAGGTTCCAGATGCCAAACTTTATTTATTTCAAATTCATTTAATTCAGCTTCCATAGCATTAATCCAGTCAGCGTTAGTTAAAGCTTCAACATAATTCTTAGGTTCCATGGAGGAAAGGAATGCATTGAATGCACGGAAGTTCCTAAGCTGAGATCTGGTTTGAGTTCCTTTTGTGATATCATTCATGATTACATCAACTGAATGTGATTTCTGATATTTCCAGGGCCTTGGAGTGAAATCCTTGATTGGATACAATTTTTCTTTATTATTGTTGACTGGTTCTTCTGTAGGAACTTCTTCATGGAACTAAGTTTGAACTTCTTCAGGTGTTTCCACATTCTGGTCTTCATTATGGACATCAGTCTGTTCTTGAAGTTGAGTTCCTGGTGCATTCTCCATCTCAGGTTCAGCATTTGCTTCAGGATTCGTTACTTCAGCAATTTCAACTTGCTGCTTCTGCTGTGATGCTGGTTCCTCTTCCGGATTCTGCTTACGCACAAGTCCGATTTCGAAATCATCATCACAGTCCTGTACATCAACCAAATGTTCAGTTTCATCAAATATAATATGTACAGACTCCTCAACAAACAAAGTCCTTTTATTATAGACTCTGTAAGCTTTACTATTCGAGGCATATCCTAGGAATAATGCCTCATCACTACGTTCATAAAATTTACCCAAGTTCCTTTTACCATTATTGTGAACAAAGCATTTGCATCCAAAAGATCTAAAGTAGGAAATATTAGGCTTTCTCCCTTTCATAAGTTCATAGGGAGTTTTATTGGTGATGGCCCTAACAGATACTCTGTTAAGTATATAACATGCTGTGTTAACTGCTTCAGCCCAGAAGTTCCTAGGAAGCCTGCTTGATATCAGCATTGTCCTTACCATGTCTTCAAGGCTCCTATTCTTGCGTTCCACCACTCCATTTTGTTGTGGAGTTCTTGGGGCAGAGAAGTTGTGATCCATACCATACTCAGTACATAATTCATCAAATTTTGAATTCTCGAATTCTGTTCCATGATCTGATCTAAGATGTATCAATTGATTGCCTATTCTTCTTTGCTCTTTCTTTACAAAAGCAACAAACTCATCAAACGTTTCATCCTTACTTACAAGAAAGAAAACCCAAGTGAACCTTGAAAAATCATCAACAATAACCATTACATATTTCTTACCACTTCTACTTTGGATTCTCATTGGACCACAGAGATCTATATGAATGAGTTCCAAAGGTCTTTTGGTACTTACCATCTTTTTGGACTTGAAGGAAATTTGGTTCTGTTTTCCTCTAACACAAGCTTCACACACTTTGTCATACAGGAACTTAATGCAAGGAAGTCCTTCCACTAAGTTCTTAGATCTTATTTTATCAAGTAAAGAAAAGCTTGCATGGCCAAACCTTCTGTGCCATAAAAGAGGATCATCCTCAATAACACTAAGACATGTTAAACTGCTGTTAGGAACCTCATTAAGATCCACAATATATGTGTTCCCTTCACAAGTTCTTTCCAAAATAATGTTCCAAGTGTCATTGTGGATGATTCTACACTTATTAGAAGTAAAGCTAACAGAATTACCTTTGTCACAAAACTGTGAAATACTTAACAAATTGTGTTTGAGGCCCTCGACTAAAAATACATTATCAATGGCATGGGAACGTGACCTTCCTATCTTTCAATAACAATTATATCACCTTTCATATTATCACCAAAGGTCACTGTTCCACCATAGTAGGCATCCAGTGAGAGAAATCTAGATTTATCTCCAGTCATGTGCTTAGAACAACCATTGTCGAGGTACCAAGTGTTGTTCCCCCTCACTAGAACCTGTAAGAAGAATTAAACGTTAGAGTCAGGAACCCAGGTTTCCTTGGGTTCCTGTGTAACAGGAGTTGATTCATTTTTCTTGATCCAGATTTGTTCTACATGTTTGACATTCTTCTGTGTGCTTTGTTTTTTCTAAGGACACTTAACCTGGTTATGTCCTGTATTGCCACAGAAATAACAAACCATGCTACTAGGCAAGTTGACATACTTCTTTTGTTTCTGGAACTTGTTTTTAAAACCTAAACCTTAAGTATTCTTGGTTTGAGCCTTAGTAATCCAATCAGGAACTCTATACTCTATTGGTTGCTTACCTTTCCTAGCTCTCTCAAGTTCCCCCTCAAGACGTACCTTATCCGTTTTTAAATTTTCCAAATCATGTTTTAATTTTTCGAAATTCGGATAATCAGTTGGTGGAGGAACTTCAGAGTTAGGAGTATCAACATTAAGTTTTAACAAAGACAATTCCACATTCAGAAGTATGTTATCTTGTTTCAGATTCTCTATAGTCTCTTTTAAATTTTTATTATCATCAAACAGACTAAAGAACCTGTATTGAATGTCAAACTTCATGTTATCAACCCATTCACTGTTCTCTTTGTATGTAACTAAAGCTTTATCACTTTGTTGTTTGGATCTATGTAATTCCTTTAAATCTTCTTGAATTTCCAAAACAGTATTTATTAGATTCTCTTTAGACAGTTGTTTTAATTGATTGTAAGAGAGCCATACCTTAGACTCAAGCTCCTTTAGTTTGGCAGCTTCATCAGTTTTTGCCATTAAACATAAATGAGCGGTTTCTTCTAATGGTTGGTCCTCCTCTTCTTCTGAATCTTTATCTCCCAAAGCAGCTAGCATGGCTTTCTTCACATTGTCCTTGGTGAAGTAAGGCTTATAGACTTTTGACTCTTTGGATTGTTCTTTGCCTTTTGTCTTTCCTTTCTCTCCATCCTGTACAGGGCAATCCTTAATGAAGTGATCTTTTGACCCACACCTGAAGCATGTTGTGTTTCTAGAACTTGTGAACTTCTTGTTCCTCTCGAACTTCTTATTATTCATCATCTTTTTAAATTTCCTCACTAGCATAGCCATCTCTTCCTCATCAACTTCCGATTCTTCTGAATCTTGAGCCTTAAGTGCAACGCTTTTACTTCTGGAACTTTCAGTATTGGAACTCAGATGAAGTTCATGTGTCATCAATGATCCAGCTAGTTGTTCCATATTAAACTTTGTGAAATCCTTAGCTTCCTGCATAGCAGTAACCTTGGATCTCCAGTGTTCATCTTGTGGTAGACTTCTTAGGATCTTCCTTGCATGTTCATCAATAGGAATATGCCTGCCAAGGGAGTTCAGTTCATTAATAATATCATTGAATCTGGTAAACATCTCTTCTATGGTTTCTTTAGACTGCATTTCAAACCTTTCATACCTAGACATCAATAAATCTATTTTAGAACATTTTACCTCGTTAGTACCTTCATGAGTTACCTGTAGCAAATCCCAAATCTGTTTGGCAGACTTGCATCCCATGATACGGTTATGTTAATGGGGTCCAAGTCCACAGTGCAAATACTTTATTGCTAAAGCATTCAGTTCAAGTTTCTGATAATCTTCTTTGTCATAATCAGAAATAGATTTAGAAACTACCTCATGTTTGTCATTGGTTGCAGTTATTTCAAAATCACCAGTTTCAATAACACGCCAAACCTGGTAATTTTCAGCCTTGATGAAGATCTCCATCCTGTTCTTCCAGTAGGCATAGAACTTACCATTGAACATAGGTGGACGTTGGGTTGAGTACCCTTCTTCAAGTTTCTCCTTGTAATTCATCTCTCCAGGAACTTACTCAGCAAAGTTATCTGCTTGCAAGTGAGAACCTTGCTCTGATACCAATTATTAGTTGAGATGAACACTACAAGAGAAGGGGTGAATTGTAGGTGAGTTCCTAGTGACTACTTTTTCAAATATAAAACAGAATAAAATAGGAACTTGCAATGCACAAAGGATTTTACGAGGAAAACTTTTAGTGCCCAACTAGAAGTAAAACCTCAACCCTACCTTAGGGATTTCGAACACAAACAATTTCACTATAATAGGGAAAACACCAAGTTACAACCTATTATAATCAAACCTCTACTCACAAGTTCCTGAACGAACTTGCTGCAGAATAGGATTCTATTCTACCCAGTCTAAGTCACACAATCAGACTCTCTCTCGTACTCCCTAAGCACAGATCTTCTTAACTTCTCAACAGTAGCTCTCTCTCTATATGCAATGATAACAAAAACACTCTCACCCAAATAACCCAAATCAATTACAAGTAAAGACACCTAGTATATGATAGGCAAGCTATGCATGAAACCCGAAACTAATATGACAAGATGATAAGCTTGGCAAACTTACACAATTAAAGCTCTGTAAATTCTTCACGCATAAAACTCACAGAAAACCTAAACTCTTTTTTTTCTCTACTATTTATACAAGTATTACTTGTATAGCAAGTAGGTTTTGTTAAAGATAAATAATTTAAACTTAACTTATCTTTATACACGGTTTTTATGTAAATCATTAGAAGAAAATCTTTTCCGAAAAATAAGATAGAAAGATTGAGTTAAAAAGTATAATATATTTTTAACAAACTGATTTTAAGAAATATACATTTAAATAAAATGTTTTTCGAATTCTATCCTTTATCTTTTCTGATTTTAATTTATTTGCCAAGCTAACTTGTTACGCTTCTAATAGACTTCATGCATATCCTACATAACATATTTAACAATGAATCTAGAAGAATAAATCTTTAACTAAATCATTGCCGCGCCACACTCTTGTACTGGTAGGTTTACTTGGGCTCCACGCTTACTAAGTTCCTCCAAAGATCTTAGCCAGCCATCTTCAAGTTTCTCTGAAGGAACGTTCCTGTTAGGGAACTCAGTTCCTGTGAGGGAACACTTCTTCTGTTTCGAATAACCTTTTTGAATAAAGAACTTCTTCAAGTCTTCTTAGTTTCAGTTACTTCTTTCATCTCCAGGATCAATTTCACCTAAACTAAACAAACACTTGAAAAACCTTTATTAAATGAGTTTGATGTAGTTTAAGTTCCTCATCATCAAAACCTTTAAACATCAACAATTTCCCCCTTTTTGATTATGACAAACTTAAGCAAACTCTAGGGAAAGTTAAAACAAAATAGAAGGACGTATTTTTGTATTTTTGATTTATAAACAAAAAGTAAACACACAACTGAATTAAAAACAGAAAACAAAAATAACTAAAACAGAAAGTAAACTAATAATCTATCAGCATCATATCAGAAGAAAGTTCTGATACTTTATAAACTAGAACCCAGAACAACTTCAGCCTCCATGTTTGCTTCTTCTTTTCCCCCTTTTGGCATTATAATAAAGTCCTGCTTTTTCAAGTGTATTAAGCATCTACCCACAGCCCCACAAGCAATTCATCGAGTGTGGGAAACTAAAGGCAGCACTGCTAAATAACCTCAAGTAATTCTATCCTTCAGCATAAGTGTTAAAAATACATATAAACACACAAGTATAAGTAGAGTTCCAACATTTCAGTAAAGGCCAAAAAGATTTTTCATCCAGTTGAACAATTTAGAGAATTTACAAACAAAATTAATTGTTCAAATACTAAAAACAGAAATTTAAATTGTTCATGACTGAAACAGAGAAAATAGGCTAGGCTGAATATGAAATAAGGCAGGCTAGGTTTCATGAACTCTAGAATTTTCTTGAAGTCCTACTTTGTCTGTTGTGAAGAGGTCTCCAAATTTTCTTCAACGCCCTTGAGTTTCACCAGGAACTCCTCCTTCTGTTCCTGTAGAGCCTTGATCAGTTCTTGCTCTTGAAAGTCCTTTTTCTCTTGATGTTCCTTGTTTTGTTTTAGCACCATAAGCCTGAGTTCCTTTAACTCCTTCCCCTGCTCCTGTACCAACTTTTCCAGGGTCAGCACCTGAAGCTTTCTAGCAGAATCCTTCATTTGACTTTCAACCCGTTCCATTCTATCCACTAACTCAGCAACTTGCCCATTAAGGATATCTTCCTCAACATCCAACTCTAGTGGCTGTTCCATACTGGTTTAAGAAACAGCACTGGCAGAAATCCTCCTGCTCTTTCTCACAGGCTGCTCAGATACATCCTTTTCTTTCCTCTTCCCTGTCACTTTCTATCTCTGTTCTCTCCCTTCTCTAATTTATGAATTTTTCCTTGCACTACTTACAAACTTAACCCAGCCAGGGTTTCCTCAACATGTTTGACTTTCATTTGATTCAAAAAGTTTTTTTGAATGCATTGACTTTCATTCGATTCAAAAAGCTTTGTTAGAATTTGTTTGCCCAAATTGGATTCAAAAAGCTTTGTTTGAATGTGTTTGACTTTTATTCGATTCAAAAGTTATGTTTGAATGAGTTTGACTTTCCTTTGATTAAAAAAGCTTTGTTTGAATGTGTTTAACTTTCCTTCGATTCAAAAAGTATTGTTTGAATAAGTTTGACTTTCATTTGATTCAAAAAACTTTGTTTTAATGTGTTTAACTTTCAACTGATTCAAAAAGATTTTTTTTAAATGTTTTGAGCTTTCATATGATTCCATTAGCTTCGTTGAATACGTATGTATTTCTTTCAATTCAAAAAGTTTTGTTTGAATGTGTTTGACTTTCATTAGATTCAAAAAGCTTTGTTTGAATGTGTTTGACTTTCATTTGATTCAAAAATCTTTTTTGAATGTGTTTGACTATTATTCGATTCAAAAAAGCTTTGTTTGAATGTGTTTGACTTTCATTCGATTCAAAAAAGTTGCGACGAACACTACAACATGGGGGGTGAATTGTAGGTGTATTCCTAGTGACTAATTTTTCAAATATAAAACAAGGGGGGTGAATTGTTTGAATGTGTTTGATAATCATTTGAGTCTAAAGGCTTTGTTTTAATTTGTTTTTTTTTCATTTGATTCAATTAGCTTCTTTAAATACATATGACTTTCATTCGATTAGAAAATCTTAGTTTGAATTTGTTTTACTTTCATTCGATTCAAAAAGATTTGTTTGAATGTGTTTAATTATAATTTGATTAAAATAGCTTTGTTTGAATGCGTTTGACTTTCCTTTAATTAAAAAATCTTTGTTTGAATGTGTTTGACTTTCCTTCAATTCAAAGAGTTTTGTATGAATGTGTTTGCCTTTCCTTTGATTCAAAAATCTTTGTTTGAATGTGTTTGACTTTCCTTTAATTCAAAAAGTTTTGTTTGAATGTGTTAGACTTTCCTTTGATTCAAAAAACTTTGTTTTTATGTGTTTGACTTGCATTTTATACAAAAAGATTTGTTTGAATGCATTTGACTTTCATTCGGTTCAAAAATCTTTGTTTGAATGCGTTTGACTTTCAATTGATTAAAAAAGGTTTGTTTAAATGTTTTTTGCATTCATTTCATTCAATTAGCTTCTTTGAATGCATATAACTTTCATTCGATTCAAAAAGCTTTGTTTGAATGTGTTTGACTTTCATTAGATTCAAAAAGCTTTGTTTGAATGTGTTTGACTATCATTCGTTTCAAAAAGCTTTGTTTGAATTTGTTTGAGTTTCATTCTATTTTAAAATCTTTGTTTGAATGTGTTTGACTATCATTTGATACAAAAAGCTTTGTTGGAATGTGTTTTATTTTCATTTGATTCAAAAATCTTTGTTTTAATGTTTTTTTTATTTGATTTAATTAGCTTTTTTGAATGCATATGACTTTCATTAGATTCAAAAAACTCTGTTTGAATGTGTTTTACTTTCATTTTATTCAAAAAGCTTTGTTTTCTTGTGTTCTTTTTTTATTTGATTCAATTAGCTTCTTTGAATTCATATGACTTTCATTTGATTCAAAAAGCTTTGTTTGAATGTGTTTGAATTTCATTCGATTCAAAAAGCTTTGTTTGAATGCGTTTGACTATCATTTGATTCAAAAAGCATTGTTTAATTGAGTTTGATAATCATTTGAGTCTAAAGGCTTTGTTTTAATTTGTTTTTTTTCGTTTGATTCAATTAGCTTCTTTGAATACATAAGACTTTCGTTCGATTAAAAAACCTTAGTTTGAATTTGTTTTATTTCATTTGATTCAAAAATATTTGTTTGAATGTGTTAAAATATAATTTGAATAAAATAGCTTTGTTTGAATGCGTTTGACTTTCCTTTGATTAAAAAATCTTTGTTTGAATGTGTTTGACTTTTCTTCAATTCAAAAAGTTTTGTTTGAATGTGTTTGCCTTTCCTTTGATTAAAAAATCTTTGTTTGAATGTGTTTCACTTATCTTCAATTCAAAAAGTTTTGTTTGAATGTGTTTGCCTTTCCTTTGATTAAAAAATCTTTGTTTGAATGTGTTTGACTTTCCTTCAATTCAAAAAGTTTTGTTTGAATGTGTTAGACTTTCATTTGATTCAAAAAACTTTGTTTTTATGTGTTTTACTTTCATTTTATACAAAAAGATTTGTTTGAATGCATTTGACTTTCATTCGATTCAAAAATATTTG